GGCCCAGCCCTGGCACACATACCCACAGACAGGTTATTTTTGGATGGTGACAGCCGGGATCTTCTGGGGGAGGGGCAACCCCAAGCCTAGGGTGGCTTGCCATCCAAAGGGCTCCTGCCCCTGGACCCTTTCTCCCATCTTCTCCCCAGCCAAACAGACCCAGGCCCAGGGTGAGGACAGCGCTATGGGGAGAGGCCAGGCAGGCAGCACCATGACCAGCCAGACCTGGTCCCCACAACACCCCTGGTTGGGGAGACGGACGGTGGACAGGTCATAAGATAACTGCCGCCTCAGCATTTTGGGGTGACAGGGCCTCCAGGGTCCCAGAGAGGCCTGGAGTTTTGCATAGCCAAGGACCGAGGGGCAAGTGGACGTGCGGACGGAGGGAGACTGGCAGAGGGCACACACAGAGCAGCTGAGGCAGGAGGGAGAACACTGGGAGAGTTTGAGGAACACAGGAAGGGAGGCCAGGTGGCCAAGGCCCAGGCCAGGGAGGGGCTGAGGAGAGGCCAGAAAGAGCGAGCAGGGAAGCACACAGCAGGTGAAGCTTTGGCTTTGATCCCAAGAGACGGGGAAGGATTTAAACAGGGGTGTGATGCTAAATGCGTCCTCCTGGCTGTGGTATAGGGACCAGCCGGAGTGAGGCAAGAATGGGCACAAGCTGGAAGGACAGCTCCACCGTAGCCATGTGGGCCAGAGCTGAGGGCAAGAGTGTGGAGAGAGAAGAAGGAACAGCGGGTGGAGGGACGTCCAGGGAGGCCTAGGAGCAGCCGGGACTGCAGTCATGAGAGCTGGAAGGTGCCTGGGAGAGTGGTTTAGCCCAAGATGGAGAACAGGGTCCTGTGGGCTAGGGGCCATCCGATGGATGGACTTGGCCTCTGTGGTATGGGGACCCACCTGGAGACAGCAGGAATGGGGCCTGTGGCAGAGCCTCCTCCCGCGCTGAGCAAGGCACATGGCCTTGCAGAGCCTTAGTCTCCCAGGAAGATGGCGTTCCAGGGGAAGAGCCGAACCCGCAGGCCAGGAGCCCAGGGGGTGGACCCACAGGCACAGGGAGCAGTGACTAAAGAAAAGCCCTGGTGGCCAGGCGCGGTGGCTCACGTCTGTCATCCCAGCACTCTGGGAGGCCAAGGCGGGCGGATCACCTGAGGTCGGAAGTTCCAGACCAGCCTGACCAACATGGTGAAACTCCATCTCTACTAAAAATACAAATTTACCCGCTGGGTGTGGTGGCGCATGCCTGTAATCCCAGTTACTTGGCAGGCTGAGGTAGGAGAGTCACTTGAACCCGGGAGGCGGATGTTTCAATGAGCCAAGATTTCACCATTGCACTCAAGCCTGGGCAACAAGAGCGAAATTCCATCTCCAAAGAAAAAAGAAAAGCCCCGGAGCTCTTGGCTGGACAGGGGCAAGGCACAGGCAGGTGAGTGGGTGGGTGGGGTCAGGGGGCCGCAGGAGAGGAGCTGGATAAAACCAAGAGTTGGGGAGGCTGCACTCCTGGGACAAGGCCTGGGTGTGACTGGGAGGTGGTGAGATGGGGGCAGGACTGCTGTCCACCACAAATGGACTTCACAGGGCCAAGGGGGTGAGCTGGGATCAGGGTGGGCATGGGAAGCCTCAGAGAAAAGCACCCACTCAAGGGGCTGAGGGAGTGGTGGGGGCAGTTTGCTGGTGGACGCAGGGACTCATTCTCCCAGGGCGCCGGTGGCTTGGATGACCCAAGAGGGTCCAGAGCGTGTGACCCTGGACCTAGGGTCCAGGCGCCCAGACAAGGGGCAGGGCAGGAGTGGCATGGCGGGCAGTGGACAAGTGGAACTGTGACCAGAAACGGGAGCGCCCCTCGCAGAACGGTAGGGCTCTCAACAGCCAGCCACAGCCATGGGAGAGGCCCAGGGCTGCTGTGCATCTCATGGGCAGGAATGGAAAGGATGGGCCCCCCCGCCCAAGGAACGGGAGGGTGTCTGTGTGATGGCCACTGCACCCAGTGGCCCCCAAACTCCAGCTCCCTAAACCCTGCACCCCCAGGGGCTCCTGAGGGCGTAACACTCTCCCTATGTTCTGGACGTGCCCCCTCACCCCCGCTGGGTCCGCAACAGAGTGGGCTCCACAGAGGAGCTGGAGAGGAGTCCGGATGGGGAAGAGGGGAAGTGCCCCTTCCAGGAAAATCGCCCAGCCGGGAGCATCCTCTCACCACGGGCTTCCTGGCTGGGGGCAGGGTTTGGCATGAGAGCTCGAGGATCCCCTGGGCCTGGCCAACTCGTGTCCCCTGACCAGGGCCTGGCTGAGGCGCGGAGTTGAGAGACTGAGTCCTTCCCGGGGCTGGCAGAGAAGGAGGAATCGCTTCCCCAAGACAGGGGCTGGGCCCTGCTCTCCTCCTCCCCTCAGGATCCCCGGCCCGGTCCCCGCCCCGCCCCGCAGCCGCCTGCTGAAGGGGCGTCGCTGGGTGGGGAAGTCGAGCCGAGCCACCCCGGAGCGGGACAGCGCGACTCACGTTCTCGTGGCGCATGTGCTTGAGCAGGCGCAGCTCGCGGTAGGCGCGCTTGGCGAACAGCTCGGACTGGAAGGGCCGGTACAGCTTCTTGATGGCCACCTTGGCGCCGGTGCGGCTGTCCACCGCGGAGCTGAGGGGCACACCGCTTAGCGGGAAGGCCGGGTACCCCGCGCAGGCCCTGCCCGCCCCGCCGGCCGCCCCACCCGGCCCGCGCTCACCACACCGCGCCATAGGCGCCCGAGCCCACGGGCTGCAGATCCCGGTACACGACGCGCACCTCCCAGACCGTCTTGGTCACCTCCTGGCGGTAAAAGCCACTACGGGCGGGCGGCGGAGAGCTCATGGCAGGCCCGGGAGCCGCCCACTCCGCAGAGCCCGCGGGCCGTTCCTCCCGGACCGGGAACCCGGGATTGGCGGGGCTCCCTCGGCGCGCGCCCCGGGCCGGCCCCGCGCGGCTTGTCCGTCCGCCAGCCGCTGGGGCGCTCCTGCTCCCGGCTCTTCCCGCAGGGCTGTCCCAGGTGCCAACCCCTGCCGGACCCCAGCCCCGACCCAGGCAGCGCACGGCCCCTCCCCCGCCCCGGGACCAACCGGCCCGAAGGCCGTGTGCACGTGATGCCCTTACCCGGCCTCCCGCCCCCTCCGGAAACCCGAGGCGGCCGCCGCCGGGGGAGGGCCGGAGCCTGGGGGGAAGCGCAGGGGGAGGGGAGAGCTGCCCCGCAGCTTCGTCCGGACCTAGGGCCAGACACGGCGCGGAGATACCCCTGCCAGCCTCTGCCCTTTGGCTGAACTTCCCTGCATTGGGGGGTGAGAAGGGGAGTTCTCAGCAGGATCCCCACCGGGCTCCAGTGTTTACTCCCCACAGTTCCAGGGCGCTAGGCCCATCCGTGACAGCCTGAGAACCGACTTCTGTCCGCAGCTGCAAGTCACTGTCCGCCTGCCACGCCAGAGTTCCCTGGGCTGAGCCCTGTGTTCACAGGTTCACCCCCAAGGATGCCCTGCCTGTGCCTGACCATCGTCCCCGAACGTGGGGTCCACCTGCACCTGTCCTGCCTGCATCCCTCTGTCTCCCAGACTCCTCAAGCTGCATCCCCAACCCCACTGCTGTGGCCACTGACCCTAGGCCTCCCAGTCCCATAGGTCCCCGTGGGCCCTTTCGCACCCGCAGCTCCTCCCCCTCTCCCGTCTGTGGGGTGCCTTCTTCAAGCACTGCAAATGCTGGTGCACCTGCCTGTCCCACCCCTGCCTGTTCCGTCCTGCAAAGCTCATGGCTACACTCTCTCCTGCAGGGACGGGGACCTGCTGGGCCCTCAGCCTGTCCCCTTCGTGTGGGCATCGTCCTCCCATCGGTCTGGCTCCATCCTGGACTAGATGCTTCAGAGGGAAGAGCCCCACCCTGACACCCCTTCCCCAGCCCAGTGATCTGGGTCTTAGGAAGGATGGGAGTGCACCCCTGGAACCCACTGGGCTGGTGGGTAGCAAGATCCCTAGGGCCCCCTGCTCCGCCCTCCTACCATGAATCAGCAGCTCAGCCGCTCAAGGGTGGGAGTAGCTTTACACCTGGGCTTCGGGCCGTCTGTGGCATTCATCAGCTGGTGACCAGTTAGCAGGGGTAGCCTGGGGCTGCCCAAACCACAACTGCGTGTGGCCTGCAACCTTTGTACCCTGGGCTGCCTGTGGCACTCTATCCACCTCTTCCAGGAAGCCCTGCTTCTACTGCTGTCCCCCTTATTCCCCATGGTGGGGATCAGGGGTCCAGCAGGCCCCACACAGACCAGGCATCTGAGGTGGGGCTGTGTCCCCATTCTGTTCTCACCCTCACCCCAACACTGGACTTCCCCAGGACTGAACACTACACTGACTAGGCCCCAGGAGGCCCCCAACTACCAGATGGTTTCCACCCCCCACCCAAGACCCCTGCAAGGGCACAGGCTGTCCCTGGCCCCTGGAGATGCTGCCTGACCCAGCATGGCCTGGACCCGCTCCCACATGTAAGCTACCATGTAGAGGAATGGGACCATCACATACATCCCTCGGGTTAAAGTGGCCTCTTTTTCCTTCATCAGAAAGGAAAGAAAAGCTATTTTCCTTACCCCGCCCAGCCCCACCCCACCAGGGATGGGCAGACCCTTACTCCTTGAGACACCCAACTACCCCCCAGCCAGCCTCCCTGACCACTGTTTTGAGGGGGGGGGTGTGTTCTGGATCTTGGCCAGAAGCCAAACCTGCCCAGTACATCTCCATAGGGCAGCTGGGGTCACCATCTCGGTGGCTGTCACACCCTGTGCCCACAGAGCCCACCCATCAGCCACGTCTTCCCTTGGTCCCCCTGAGTTCTCAGACCCTCCAGGGAGCAGGGAGGGTGCCAGAAGATGGCCACTGTTCTGAGGGACTGAGGGATCTGGCCAGCTGGAGACAAGTGATGAAGGGTGACCCAGACACTCCCCCCACCCCCAGCAGCAGGAATGGCAGGGCAGCAGGGCCTGGAGTGGCCTTTGGATATGAGCCAAGCAAGAGAGAACCCCCTTTATTGTGCACCCCTGGTGCAGGCACTTGACACCCAGGCTTCCCTGGGCCCCTCAAGGCAAGAGGTCACCACCTTTCCAGGGCAAAGCCACACTCCCAACTCAGCTCTGAGCAGGGTCCCATGTCCGGGGTTACTGGATCAGCTCCATCCTGGGACAAGGAAAGAGGAGGACTGACCCGCAGACCAGAGCACCTCAGATTTCCGGCTGCAGGGCTGCACAGTGGGCAGAGGTAGAGAGCGGGCCAGGGTGCTGGGGCAGGAGTGTCCGAATCCAAGTCCACATCTACGTGTTCAGCCTGCCTTAGAGTCCTCAAGGCTGAACCACCCCCACCTCCAGCCTCAGGAACCTGCTATAGCTCTCATGTCCAAGGAAAAAGCCCTGCTGTGCTCATGTGGTTGCCCTTTGGCCCATTGGAGCCTCTAGTCTGAATCCCAACATCCCTGAAGCATCAGGAACTGAGGGGAGGGAAAGCAGCAGCACGACCGCCCCAGCTCAGGGTTCTCACCAGACGTGGCTGCTGTCCTTTGGATGCCCACGGATTCACATGCACCACATGTGCCCTGACATGAACACGGGGAGTGCATGCCCATCCACACATGCCCACACCCATGGGTGAACACAAGGCTCCAGGCAGCTTTTCTTTTGACACCTAGTGGTTGTCCCTGCCCAGCCTGATGGCACACTGGCTCTGCCTCTCAAGACCTGTGGGTCTCGGCAGTGTCCAGGGCAGACCCCTACTTCTAGGCTGAGCAGCTCTAGCCACTGAGACCTCTCCCTTTGAGTCTCCAGGGTTTCTGGCCCCAGTGCGCCCTCCAGAGCCCTGGGACAGAAGAGATCCCTTGGCTGACACTCCCCCGTGGGTCGGCCTAGGACAGACAGGGGAACTCCCCAGGGGAACTCCTTTGGCATCCAGGACCCTACAGTCAGGTCCCAGTGGCGAGTGCAGTGGCCAGGAGGGGGCAGGAGGACCAAGGTAGGCATAGGGACACTTGTGCCCAGACTTCTACACATGGCAAGCACATGTACACACATGTTTGTGCATGCATACATGTGTGTAGATTCTCCTGAAGGCAAGGGGTCCTAGGCCAGGAGTCAGTGACCGTAGGAGGATGGGAGGCGCCTCTTGAGGAAACCAGATCAGCTGTGGAAAGGTGCAGGCCCAGGCCCCTCCACAGGCTGTCAGGGGCTACCGGGCAGCACCTCACTGCTCAATCTCCAGGCTGCCAGGAGGCTTCGGTGGCTCTGGGGGCTTGAAGCTGAGGACTTCCTGGTAGGTGAGCTCTAGGAGGTGAAGGGAAAGGGTAAGCTTGTGCCTCCCACAGCCCAGCCCCCCAACTGCTTGTCTGGCACCTGCCACCCAGCCCAGGCCCACCACACTGTGACAGCAGCCTCAGCACAGAGTCAGAGTGCTGACACCGGCACGCCCTTCTGTGCCTGACCAGTCTGGAGAGGAACTGGAGTACTTCCTGCCTCTGGGGTAATGGAGCCCACAGGCCCCTGGACCCAACCCCAGCCACTGCCATGCCCACCCTTCCACTCCTCCACGGTGCGTTCCTTGGCCTCAACGCTCTCATCGTACGGCTCGGCCTCTGGCTCATCCTCAGGGTCGTGGTACTGGCTGAAGTAGGCGTGGGCCAGCGCCTCGGCCGCACTGACCCTCTGGTCACTATCCAGCACCAGCATCCTTCCAAGGAGGTCTATGGCTGCAGGGGAGCCAGGTGGGGGTCAGCTCTACATCCAGGGCCAGATATGGAGCCCAGTCTAGCCCCAGGGCGGTCCTCACCCAGGGGGTTGGCTCCGTGGAAGATGCTGCTCAGGTCCTTCTGGGGCATGGGGGGCAAGGACTGGATGTACGTCCGGGCCTGGGAGCAAACAACACCACCTGGGGAGGCTGCTCACTCTCTGCCTCTCTGGCCTCAAACTGGGGCTTCTCTCAGCAAGCCACTATACTCATTCACTCCAGCAAGCCAGGACAAGGGCATAGGCAGACCGGTGAACCCCTCTGCATAGAGCTGGTGGCTCTAGCTCCTCAGTTAGCCCCGATGCCTGCAGGAGCTGGGCACTTGTTGCCCCCAGCCCACCCCCACTGCCATGGCCAGGCACTGCTTGCTGGGATCATGGCTTAGCACCCACTGTCTCTGATGTCAGGAATGTCTTTCCTGTTCTCCTGTTTCCCCCGCAGGGATTGGGCACCTGCCCTGGGCTCTATCCCACCACGTCCCATGTTCCCCACATTGTCCCTGCATTTCAATACTACCCTCTCCCCCAGAGAGCCTGGGGGCTCAGCCAGCAGAGGGAGCTGCTGGCTGGCGGGCACCTACTCACATGTTCTGAGGAGATCTTTGCCAGCACCTCGGGGCTGGGTGTGCCCACCACTTCCATGATGCGCTTCAGCTGGTCAATGTCTGCGTCACTCAGGAAACACCCACCGGCCAGCCACGGACCTCTCCTGGGCCCTCAGACCCAAGATTTGGGGCACTGCCCAGAGCCTGCTCTCCTACAGCTGAGGATGGCCACCCCAAGGTAGCATGGCATGGGGGAGGGCAGAGGAGGCGAGACCCACCAGAAGGGGCCAGCACCAGCCCCTACCCTACAGGAGCAGCCCTGTTTGACCCTGCTCCCCAACCTGAGCCAAGGATACAGTCGCTTCCTGGGAAGAGGGCCTTGCCCTGGAGTAGCTCAGCCATGATGCAGCCCACGGACCAGATGTCCACTGTGTGAGGGCGGGGAGCCTCCGTCAGTCTGCCCACCCCACATCCCTCCTCCAGGAGACCAGAAGTCACATCTAGACCCCAAAACAGGTAGGCCCCCTCCTCGGCCACATCCAACCCTGGGCAGGGGGAGGTGACAGCTGCAGGGCCAGAGGGGGCCAGCACCCATCATGTTCTAGCAGCCTCTGAAGGGCTGCTTTTGAATGTGGGTCCCACATTCTTGGGGACCTTGCCTGCCCACCAAGACTGAGCATGCAGAGCCAGGCCTTCCCCCTGCACCTGTCTGGTTGTAATGCATCCAGTTGAGCATGATTTCAGGGGCCCGGTACCAACGCGTGGCCACGTAGCCCGTCATCTCTTCGTCTGCCTGGCGGGCCAGCCCGAAGTCCAGGATCTGGGATGACCATGAGGTGTTTTCAAGCCCCGAACAGGTTTCGCCGCCACCCTGCCCACCCCTGCCCGCAGGCCTCACCCTGAGCTCACAGTCCTCGTTCACGGCTACGTTGCTGGGCTTCAGGTCCTGCAGGCCACGCCGAGCGTAAGCGTGAGCACAGGGGGCCGGGCAGAGCCCTGCCGGACCCGACCCTCACCCTGCGGCCGCACCTACCCGGTGGATGATCCCGGCCGAGTGGATGTACTGCGGGAGGGGGGTTGCGGTCAGCGCTGGGCCCGGACCGCCCGCCCCGCGCGTTGGAAACCCGCGAAGCCCAGGGCGCCCCACCTTCAGCCCGCGCAGCAGCTGGTAAACCAGGAACTGAACGTGCTCGTCGCTCAGCGCCTGGCACTTGACGATGTTGTTCAGGTCAGCGCCCATCAGGGTGGTCACCAAGTACCTGGGGAGGGGGGCGGTCAGGACAGGGCCCCGCCGCCCATCCGCGAACGCGCTCCCCAGGGCGCTGCCTCGCCCGCCCTGCCGCTCACACTTCGCTGAAGTCCTCGATGGACGTGGCCGGCGTGAAGACATCCAGAAGCCCAATGACCTGGGTGGCGCGGGCAGCAGGGATCAGGACCCGGCGGCGAACACTGGCCGCAGTTCAGCAGCCCGGGCCCCGCCCCACGGCCCCGCCCCCACAACCAGGGCTCACCCGCCCATTGGCTGCGCTGCGGCCCCGCCCCCGGGCCCCGCCCTTCCCACAGCCCGCCCCCGGCTCACGTTCTCGTGCTTCAGGTGCTTGAGCAGCCGCAGCTCCCGGTACGTCCTGCGCGCGTGGATCAGCGACTGGAAGGGGCGCGACAGCTTCTTCACCGCCACCTTCTGGCGCAGCCGCGAGTCGTAGGCCGAACTGGAAGGCGGGCGAATGAGGCGGTGTTGGGAGGGGTCCGTGGGCGGCGGCCCGCGCGCACACGCGCTCCCGGCCGCACGCGCGTGTACCCGGGCGGCGCCGCTCCGCCGTGGGGATGTGGCCGTGGGGCTTTTCCGCCACGGCCCCGCCGCCCCAGCTCGGCCTCCGCCCTTGGGCCTCCGCGCTTGCTGGGAAGGACCCCTGGGGCTGGACCGCCATGCGTGTGTTCACCACCGCAAGGTCCTGGACCTTCTCTGTCCCCTAGCCCCACCGACCCAGGGCCCCCATTCAAAGCGAGGCTAGAGGCGAGGCCTCCCACCCAGCGTGGAAAAACACAGCAGGAAAACAGCCACTGGCGTTTGCCTGCAGCAGTCGAGCCTCCCTCTGCTCCCTAGGCCCCATGGGTCCAGGAGGCTCACGGAGGAGGTTTCTAGAGCCACCTCAAAGCCCCTGGACCCCCAGTGCCTCTGAGTGTTCAAAATGGAGAGGGAAAGTTGGTCAGAGGTGTTTACTGCATCATTATTTGTAACAAAACCTGGACAGGTAATGTCCGGCTGAGGGCATCTGCCCAACCCGCAGAACAGCCCTTCGCCCAGCCCCACTTCCCAGGTGTCCAGACCTTCCACCCCGCGCCACCTTCCTCAGCCCACCCTCCCTTTGCAGGTGGCCCTCGCCCCCAGCCTCCCCTGTCCCACTGCCCTCAGCCCTGCTAAAGGCAAGGCCTTTGCACAGCCCGTTTTCTCTGGCTGATACTTGTCCCTTCTCTCCCTCCCAGTTCTGTCTCTTGGGATCCTGTCCAAGAGCAAGTGGAGGCTGAGGCCACAACCCATGCTCACACAGGGGGAGCAGGGGCGGCTCCTGCTGGGTCTGGGATGCTCATGGGCCCGGTGGTTCAGGAAAGTCAACGAGGTGCCTGGGGCAGCTATGCCCCCAGCCTATGACCAGGGAAGGGTGCACCTGGTGTGGTGAGGGGAGTGGCCACATGTGGGCAGGAGGTTATTTTGGCCAATTGCATCTGTGCAGTCAGGTGACAGGCAATTGGCACCCAGTCCCCAGCCTTGGCAGTAGAACTGAGTAAACAGGCCAGGAGTGCGGGTAGAGGCTGGGAGACCAGGCCTCACTCAGAGAACCGGACACCCCTCAGCAACTTCCAGAAGGCAAGTCCCAGAGGCTAATCCAGACAGGCCCCACCCTAGTTCCCTGTGGCCACTCCCACACTGACCGGGACTCTCTTCCTGCCCTCGAGGTCACAGAGAGGAAGACAGATCTGTGCTGGGATGGCTAGCATGACCCACTTGCAGCTTCTGATGGAAGGGTAGGGACCACACGAGAAGAGAGCCCGCCCTGGGACCTCCGGCCCCTGATGTCACCTGCTGAGCTCCGCCTCTGGTGGGCCTAGAGGTCCCACTGCCAACCTGAAAGTGCCTGGGGCAATGTCCTGCCCTGGCTGCCTCTGCCTTCCGCCCCACCAGGACCCCACAGTGGGCAGCAGCTATCGGGCACTGGCCTCCATAAGGACCCAGCTGCACCTCTCAAACCCCATACCCGTGGTCCGCCTCCCAGTCAACATGGAAGCTGCCACTTGGGACTCCCGGTAACCACCTCACCCCAAGCCCCTGCAGCCCGGGCTGCCTGGGTAACTAAGAGGCCTCGGCCCAGTCGGTCCCTCCCCCACCCTGACTCTGTCGTCTCTCTGGGCCCCAGGCCAGGTCCTCTGGTCCCAGGGCCTAAGTGGGGGTGGTGGTCTGAGGGGGAGCCTGAGGCCATACCAGGGAATAGGTCTTGACTTCCGGGAACGGGGCTTCTTGTTTCAAACAATAGTCCCCGCCCCGGGCGGGGGAGGGGTATCTGCTAGACCCCCGCGACTGCCTGATCTGACCCAGTGAATCCCAGGTGGGCGCTCAGGCAATGAGGGTCCTGGACGTCGGGGGACTCGGCTCTCGGTCGCCTGAGACCCACCCTCACGCCGGTTGTGACCCCCAGGACTCAGGCCTAGTGGGGGGCGCTCCGAATCGGGAGCGGCATCGGCTTGGAAAGTTTCTTTGCGCCACCCCCACCCCATTCATTCCTCCGATCCGCGCGGCGCCCGGGGGCGGAGGCAGGGCGAGGCCCCTCCCCACGCCGAGAACCCCGCGCGGGCGAGGAGGGGGCGCGCTCTCCGGCCCGGCCCGGCCCCCACCCAGCACCCCCTCTGCCCCGCCCCTACCAGACGGAGCCGTAGGCGCCGGAGCCCACCGGGCGCAGACCCTGCAGCCGCTGCGGCACCTCCCACACGGTCTTGTTCAGCTCCTGCCGGTAGAAGCCGGCGCGAGGGCCCGACATGTCCGGAGCGGCTGCCGCTCCGCCGGTGTCCTGCCCCGCGCCCCGCGCCCCGCGCCCCGCGCCCCGCGCCCGAGCCCGAGCCGAGCGGAGCGGAGCGGAGGGCCGCGGAGGCGGTGGCGGGCGCGGGGGCGGGGCTCCGGGGCGGGGCCGGGAGGCCCGGGCGGATTTCCCGGGCTGGGTGGCCTGGACTGGGGAGAGGGGGGGTTCCCGGAGACAAATGCTGCTTCCTGCGCCTCGGAGGCGGCGGCAGAGCGGAAACCGGCCCTCCCTTTGCCAGGGGGGCGGGGGCACCAAGGGCGGACACCTCCCTTCTGCTCGCATCTCCTAGGGGCCGCGCGCTTCCCCAGGCCGGCGTCTGGGCTGGACCCGGGCATCCCCACCCCAGCGGCTCCCTCCCCAACGAGGGAGAACCGTCAGAAGCCAAGAAGCCGGGGGTGAACCATGGGAATCATTTTTCGTCAAGACAGAAATATGAATAGCGTCACCTAAAGACTCGGCACTGGATAGAAAATCAGCCGAAAGAAAGGCGTTGGGACTGGGCCGGCCTGGCTTTCTCGCGCAGGACCTGCAGACCTTGATCCGCGGCACGCTCGGGAGAACCTTCCAGGCTTCCTGCCCCGGCTTGCCTTGACCTCGCTTCTGGGAGAGGCGCGACCGCTGGGCCAGGGCTGTCAGGACCAGGGACAGCGGCGTCACCGCGGGGCCTTCCTACCCAAACGCAGGCCGCAAACGGATCCATTTTGCTCCTTAGCTTTCCCCTCCTTAGCTGCCACCTTTTCTAGGAAGCCCACCCTGACTATCCCAAGTCCGAGAAGCGGCCTTTGTGCACTGGGTCTTGTGAAGTCAGCCCCTCGGGTGGCCAGGCGCGGGGAGCTGCCTTGGCGGGGACGTCCGCAGCGCCCCACTCTTCTTCGGCTTCTGTGCCGCGCTTCGGGCCGCGTGATGACAGGTTCCTGTCTCGTCGCCCGCGCCACCCTCCACCCGCTGAGCAGCCAGGCCAGGGAGGCCTCGAGGATTGCAGGCAGGAGCCTTGGGGAAGCCTGACACCTTCCCACTGGAAAGTGGCAACGGCTCGAAGGAGCATTGCCTCCTGGAGCACCGGACACTGACTTACGTCCTGTTAGAGCAGTGGGTGGAGGGCTTTGTGGCTGGGCAGCCGCCTCCAGCGAGGTGAGAAATCAAGATCCCAGTGGCCCAAAAAACTTCTTTTTAAAAACATTAAAATCCGAGTTTTAATGTCAAATCTGATTTTTAAATATCTGCAACCAAATTAAGACAGCCAACGCGGTCCTGGTGAACGGCCGCGTGTCCGGGACGAATACAAACAGACCAGGAACAGGTCTGAGCCCAGTCCCTCTTGCATGACCAAGCCCCGAGCCGCAGTTTCCCCACTGGGAGCCGGCGTCCGGCCTGGGGCCTAGCACAGGCCTGGGGGTGGCCCCGCTCCTCGCTGGGGCTGGGTTGGGGCGAGGACGAGGGCGGCCTCTCCGAGGGCTCCCGCCCCGGGGCGCCTTTCACTGGGCCCGGCCGAGGCGGGCTTAGGTTTTGTGCGGAGTTAATGGAGCTTCAGCTAAAGGAGGAGGAGGCGGGAGCGCAGCCCTGGCGCTGTGGGAACCGTGGCCGCGGCCGCTGCCGCCGAGGGATGGAAGCGGCCTTTGTCTGCGCCACGGACCGGCAGGGCGGGAGCCGGGTTACCCTGGCGACCGGCCGCGCCCCTAGACCTCCCGGGGCGGGGAGTGGGGTGGTGGGGTGGGGGGGCAGGGCTGGACGGCTCCATTCTCGCCTCTTGGGTGGGAGACAAGGGGTTGGGAAGGTGTCAGGCTTCCCCCAAGGCGGCTCCCGCCTGCAATCCCCGAGGCCTCCCTGGCCCAGCCGCTCAGCGGGTGGAGGTGGGGCTCAGGCAGAGAGACAGGACTCTGTCATCACTGAGCGGACCTGCCCCAGGAACCCCTACCGGCTTGCCCGGGCAGAAGAGGTCCCACCCAGGTGCCTGCTGGGGACAGTGCGGGGTCGTGGCATTGCAGAGGAGTGGCCACTGAGGAGTTTCAGATGGCAAGAGTGCCTGGAGGCCGCCTTCCAGGAGAGGCACCATCAGAACTTGGGGGGCCAGGGAAGCCCCCCTGGAGGGAGCCACCAGTGGAGGACAGTTCCAGGGCCAGAGGAGGAGGCTGCTGGTGACAGGACTGGCTTGGGGCAGGGGAGCTGGGAATAGCACTTGGTAGGGCAGGGGTGAGGGGCCCTGGGGCAGAAGCACCTCCTACCCAGCTGACAAACTTGCCCCAAACTTGCACACCACCCTTTCTCCATGCCCACTGCCCCCTGTGCTGTCCCAGACCACCTTTCCTCACTGGAGGGGTGTGACAGTCCTCTCTGGTCCCCCAGGTACCTCCCAGCTGGGCCTCTTCCTGCAGTGAACTTCCTAACAGACAAATCTGGCCTTGCTCACTGGGGGACCAGGTGATAGTGGGTGAGGAGCTGATTTAGCACACGACTTTCCCGCCGGTAAGAAGCAAGCAGGATGTAGCCCTGGGCTGTTAAGCTGCCCACTGCCCCTCCTCCCACCACTCTGGGAGGAAAATGGGACTTGGAAAGCACCAGAAAGGACAGGCCACCGTCTCTGGCCAGCTGACCACTTCAGCCCACCCACACACACCCCAGCAATGCCCAACTTCTACCCAGGGCCTGCCCCCACCTAGATGCTAGACTGCTGAGCCTGCAACCTCTCCCAACCCCAAGTTTCTCTGGAATGGGGGAACCTGATGTCATTTCAGAGGTCCCTGGAGCAGGGAATGTCAGTTTGCCTTGTACCCCTTTCTCTTGTGGGGGAGACACAGCCACCCGTTTTTCCTCATGGCTTAAATGGAATTGCCCCAGTCCAAAGGGGACTCCATCAGTCGAGGCCTTGCCCTTCAAAGAGACCTAGCCATGATGTGCCCCAGTTTGGGGGAGACAGGCTGGGGCTGCCTGAGAATGGATCCTAGCACATGGATTAGCAGTCCGGACCAGCAGAATCTCGGGATTTTTCGCCTGGATCCAGCCAGATCTGAAGCTGGACCTTCACTTTGGGTCTGGAGCACCGAATACTCCTGCCTGGGCTGCCTATAATCCTGGCACACAGGGGAGGCTCCGAGCCCTGCCTGTCCTGGTTGCTTCTGTTCCTAGCATTCAGGACAGTGCATGCGTGGTGTACAGCGGGCACTTGGTAAGAATGTGTTGCACGAAAGGAGGCCATCAAAGCCACCAGATGGCACCAGAAGCAGTCCTACCTCCCAGTACTCCTCCCAGCCCTCTCTACCTCCCCCCAGCACCCCTCCCAGCCCCCTCGACCTCCCCCCACCTCCTTTTACCTTCCCCCAGCACCCCTCCCAGCCCCCTCGGCCTCCCCACACCTCCTTCTACCTTCCCCCAGCACCCCTCCCAGCCACCTCCACCTCCCACAAGCACCCTTCCACCTCCCCACAGCCCCCCTCCTAGCACCCCCACCCCTATTAGGGCCCACAGAGCCCAGGGAAGGGGTGGTGAGCAGCCCCAGGAAGAACTCAGCCAATCCGCAGAGTGAAAAAGACGCCTGTATTTGATTTACAATGAACAAGATTTACAAAAAGGGGTGGGGTGGTCTTGGTGGAGCTGCTGCCAGTAGCCCCAGATCCGGTGGGCTCTAGGGCAGTCTGTCTGACAGACCAGGACCCCAGGGCCCTGACATAGGACGTCCCATTTGACCTATGAGGTGGAGCCCAGCAGCTGTGAGTCCACCCAGAATGCCGGAGTCTACCCAGAGTGCAGGCGCCCTCAGGGAGGCTGGTGAGGTCAGGAAGGCATCGTACCGCTTTTTCTCCTCCTCCCATCCCATGGTGCACAGACAGACAGTGTCTGGGAACTTGCCCTGGGGGCCACAGGCCCTCAGATTCCCTGGGGGCCCAACCCAGGGCATGGAGGCGGCTGCTGGTGCATGGGTGGAGGCGGAGGCCTGCTGCCCCCAGCATGGCAGCGTAAGGCACATTTGCGAATCGCTCGAGACTGCACAGTGAACACCGATGCTGGTTCCGCCAGCGGGAGCTGGGGCTGGGGCTGGGGCTGGTGTGGCGCCGGTGGTATTGCTCAGAGGAAGATGCTACAGTCTAGGCGCTGGCTGGGTCCCCGCTGCACCCACTCTGGTGAGGGGTGAGTTCTCTAGGGGAGGATGGGGCCTTCGCCACAGCCACTTGGCCTCCTCCCCCAGGGGCATTCAGGTATCTCTTGTACCTGTGCCCCAAGGCAGCACTGGAGGTCGGAGGTCAGAGGTCAGTGACCTTGTTCTCCAGTGCAGCCGCGATCTGCTGCAGGCGGAAGGCCAGCTGCATCTTCTGGGCGGCTGGGTCCTCCTCCAAGGCATTGATGATCTGAGGGAGGGTCTCATCAGAGCACGTCGGGAGAGCGCCCGCACCCCGCACTCTTCTCCCCACCCGAGGGGCTGACCCTACCTCATCATAGTACTTCTGTGTGTACTGGTAGAGTTGGTGCAGTGCCACGAGGGTGTTCAGAGAGTCTGTGTGCGCCTGGGGAGTGATGGGATGGTCAGGGCCAAAAAGGGGCTATGGGAGCCCCAGGGCTGGCAGGGGTAGTGCTGGATGCCCAGGACAAGGGGCCTCCCGCAGGGTAGCAGCTGGGGTCTTGGGCACAGCCAGCACTTGGGGGCCTCCACACGGCACAGCCTCAGACAGACACCCACGCAGAGTCGTGCACAGGCAACCATCTCAGTGCCTCCCTGTGCCACCCATGCTGAAGACAGAGCCGAAGGGAGGGGCGCTGGGCGGGGCTGGGCGTCAAGCAGCCCAATACTCCCTACACCACGCAGCAGCAGCCACACGCTACGCTCACTTCACATAGCTGGGCCCACCTCGAAGTCCCATCCCCCTATCACACCATTTTACCCCTGCCCTGCAGCTCAGGGCCAGGCTCCGCACAGGGTGGTGGGAACAGGGAGTAGGGGAGGCCATGGCTGCATCCCTGGTGGCCTGCTCACCCGGGAAATCTCTGCCAGGTGTGTGTTCATGTCCTGGTCACTGACCTGCACCATCTGCCGGATGCCCTTGTAGTAACTGCAGGGGGG